TACTCTCAGAGTAAGAATTTTTTTACTCTGAGAGTCACTTTTTACTTAGAAGAAGAAGAATTTTTTTGTCAATTATTTTACAAGATTCATTCAAAAAGCATTCTTTATTATTTTACAATTTTAAACGTCCATTTCGACTCTATCGGGTATGTATATAAAATTCAAGTTCTTCTTTTGTCTATGTTTTTCTTTTAAAATATGTATGATTGGATAAATGCTCTTCAAAAAGCTTTAGAAGAAGAAGAATTTTTTACTCTAAGAGACACTTTTTAGGTAAAGAATTTTTTACTCTGAGAGTCACTTTTTACTCAGAAGAAGAAGATTTTTTTATTCAATTATTTTACAAGATTCAATCAAAAAGCATTCTTTATTATTTTACAAATTCAAACGTCCATTTAGACTCTATCAGGTATGTATATAAAACTCAAGCTCTACTTTTGTCAATGTTTTTCTTTTTAAAATATGTCTGATTGGATAGATGCTATTCGAAAAGTTTTCAGAAGAAAAAGAATTTTTTACGCTGAGAGACACTGATTAGGCAAAGAATTTTTTACTTTGAGAGTCACTTACTCTCAGAGCAAAGAATTTTTTACTCTGAGAGTCGCTCTTTACTCAGAAGAAGAATTTTTTACTCAATTGTTTTACAAGATTCACTCAAAAAGCATTCTTTATTATTTTACAATTTCAAACGTCCATTTAGACTCTATCAAGTATATATTCCCTCCGTTTGCAAAAAGACTTCTCATTTTGATTTGGGGGCAAAAATAAGGAAGTATTAAATTATAGTTGATTTCCAATTTTGCCCCTGATGTGATGGGTAAAAGTAAGATGTGATTGATAGATTATTAGAGAAAAAATATGATGTGATAGGTAGGGTATGAAAAAGTAAGGGTAAAAGTGGTTTTTTAATAGAAAGGAGAAGTGTTTTGTTGGAAGTGGAAAAAATGAAAGAGGAAGTGTTTTTGAGAACGGAAGGAGTATATAAAACTCAAGTTCTACTTTTGTCTATGTTTTTCTTTTAAAATATGTTTGATTGGATAGATGCTCTTCGAAAAGCTTTCAGAAGAGGAAGAATATTTTTCTCTGAGAGACACTTATTAGGTAAAGATCGATTTTTTACTCTGAGAGTCACTTACTCTCTGAGGAAAGAATTTTGTACTGTGGGAGTCACTTTTTACTCAGAAGAAGAAGAATTTTTTACTCAATTATTTTACAGGGTTCAGTCAAAAAGCATTCTTTATTAGAGCACTGGAAATGGTATGTCTTGCAGCCTCGGAGCTTCAAACCCAGGCTTCAAACTTCCTCTCTCTGTCACATCAGTTTTAAATTACCTCACCAATTCACTGGAAATGAGTTTGAAGCCCGGGACTTCAAACTTTCATTTAATTTTTTACATTTTAAATGCACATCTTCTAAAATTAAATTAATAAAATTTAATTATTTAATTTTATTCATTAAAAGAATTACATTCATGAACAACAAATACATTCATTAATTTAAAAAAATTACATTCGTTCATTAAAAAAATTACATTCTATAATTTAAAAAATTACATTCATTAAATAAAAGAATTACATTCATTAATTTAAAAATTATATCATTAAATAAAAAAGTACACGGTGTGATAACGGGAAAGGGGAGCAGGGGGGCTATAACGGCCAAATTTTGCTTTACAATATGCGTCAAAAGTTTGACGCTACAAAAATAACGCCACTATAACGGGAAAGGGGGGTGGTGTACGTTTATCGTCCACCACGCGTCAAAAGCATTATAACGCCGCTTGGCGTTAGAAGTATTACCACTGGCTTTAGTGCTTCAAAAATTCTTCTATGCTTCTTGGCCCGTGAGGATGCAAGAAAACTATGGTATAGTCTTTGTTACCGAGTAACTGTAAAAGAAATGTATTGAAATATTAGTGGTAAAAATGAGTGTTGAATTTTTTTATAACAACAGTCCAAGCTATTCACTAAACTTTAGTGTTCCGTATTTATGTAAAAAATTTGATGGTTACTCTACCCGTCCAAAAGTATTTGTCCACTTTTAATTTTTTTGTTAAAATTAGTAAATTTGATCTAAATTAAATAAAACTGATATTAATACAAAAATAGTTTTTTATTAGATTTATTATATAAAATATTTTATTTAATATACAATTATCTAATTAATATACAATATATATTTAATTTAATTATAGGTCAAAAGTTAAAAAAAATTGACTGAAAAAAGTCAAAATTGGACAAATACTTTCGGATGGAGGTAGTACTCCCTATTTCTTAGGCTTCTACTAGATGAGCTTTGACATTTGTAAATTTAGATTGTGTTTATGAAATCCATACAAGCAGCCAACTGAATTTAATACCCTTAATCATCCTTCTTTTCACGGGTCTTATAATTTCTGTTTATCACACACAAAAAAATTGTCAACAAAATACAATACCAAATATTGATCGGGCACTAAAATCCGTGCATCGCACGGAGTAACGCTAGTTCGATTACCGATCCGATTCTTAAAACTATGGCTTCAACTACCTTCTATGTTCTACCCACTTTGAAATTTCTAGAGGAGTAATGCTAGGGGTACACCTTTTGGTGTACCCCAAATGTACACCACTCCCTCCATTACCACTTCTTTTTATTTATTTATTTATTTATTATTTTACTTGCCAAATTATGTGGTGATGGAGGGGTGAGATACATTTGGGGTACATTTTTGGTGTATCCCTAGCATTTTTGTTTCTCGAGTTTTACTCGTTTCAATCGTCGTCGTTTTACCTTGATCAAATTGTAACAGTTTTTCATTCCAAAAGTTAAAACATGAAATATTTTGCGGGACGGAACTAGTATCAAATTGTATGAGTGACTGAGTGAGTGTTATTCGCCTATTCAATTTTAAAAATCACCCTAAATAGAAGTAATAAACATAGAGAAACTACCAAAAATAGGAATTTAATGTTTTTATTTTCTAAATATGAGTTCTCACTATATATGGTTATATGACAATGCATGTACATGTGTAATTTAATATACTTTTTATCTTCTAAAAAGTCCTATTTTTATATATTTTCATTGTTTTACTTCAACTTTAATTTTTTTTCCTTTCGATCTTCACATTTTTTCCCACCTCTAATAGTCACGTTGTGGCCTGCCTATATGCCAAATCAAAATGCCTTGTCGGCCTCTATGATCTTAGGGAATGCCTTGTTCATTTATTAGCGGTTTGTTCTTTGCTAGTCTCTCTATCCCCCAAAATTTCTCCTTCATCCGTCACAAAAAATATTTTTTTATTAAAAAATTACTTTTACTCTTTAGTTTTTTATAGTTTATCTATCACATCATACCTTTTTACTAATAAGGGCACTGGAAATACCCATGAAGCCCCGGGCCTTCAAACCGGGGCTTCAAATCTTCTCTCTCTGCCACGTCAGCTTTAACTTACCTCACAGTTTCAGTGGAAAATGGTTTGAAGCCTCGGGGCTTCAAACTGGGGCTTCAAACCTTCATTTTTTACATTTTAAATAGACATCTTCTAAAATTAAATTAATAAACTTTAATTATTTAATTTTTTAAAAGAATTGAAACGATAATAGTTCGTTAAAAAATACATTCATTATAAAAAATTACATTCATTAAATACAAAAATTAAATTCATTAAATAAAAAAAAATTACATTCATTAAATAAAAAAAATTACATTCATTATAAAAAACCACATTCATTAAATAAAAAAATACATTCATTAAATAAAAAAATTATATTCATGACAAAATAAAAAATACTTGAATAATAATTTTTTAAAAAAAGATGATAGATAGAGAGAAATTTCTATTTATGTTAAATTTAATTTAATTTATAGAGAAGAAAAGAGGAAATTAAAAAAGAGGGGGGGGGGGGAAGAAAAAGAGGCATCAAAACGCCTTCACATTGCGTCAAACATATGACGCAGAGATTTTAATGCGAGTATAACGGAGGAGGGGGGCGATGTTTAACGCCCCCGGGCGTCAAATGCTCCCTAACGCCGCTGGGCGTTAGGAGTATTGCCACTGCTCTAATCAATCCATCAAATCTTACTTTTACCCATCATATCAAAGGACTTTTTTGAAAATTTAATACCAAAATACTTCCCTTAAATCTCTTAAAAATCAATAACTCTCATATTTTTTGGACCAGAGGGAGTATATACTTTTTATTTCATGCGAGTGTATTCGTTTAGTTGACCTTTTTATAATAAATTAGACAAATTTAAGTATCAATTACTTTACATTTGTATTACATATTAACAATTTAAAATTAAGTTTTGGAAATTCACAACAAAATAAATATAATGAAATTGTTTTTATACTACAATATCATACTTTGTTATTCAATTAAATTTCAGAATTTATTCACATTGACTCAAAAAAAATGAAACCAAAGAAATGAGCAAACTAGTAAATGACTTCTTTGAGTTGGATGGGGGTAGGAATCAATAAATGATGTAAAAAACTAGTCTAAGGCAATGAAGGTTATGTTCATTATTGATAAAAATACTCACAATATATGTTTTGTACTCAAGAGCCATATGGACCAATCCAACTTGTCAAGTTGCTTCATATTGACAGTATTAAAGTTGTCAAATCAAATACTCCTACCGTCCCACAAAAAGTTCCCATTTTGAATAGTATTTAGTCAAATATTTACATGTTTTGACTACAAATTGTGAGAAAGGTATATTGAGTTATACTCCGTATTTAATTTATGGTTAAAGCATGTAACTGTTTGACCAAAAATACATCAAAATGGGAACTTTTTTTGTGGGACGGAGAGTACATTTTTTTACCGCAACAATATACTCACTAAATGTTCTTATTAAACAGTAGTAATGCATCAACAATAACGGCCCTGTTTGGCATCAGCGTTAATTAGAGATTAGTGTTAGTGTTCTGAAAAAGGTCATCCGACAATAGCCTTTGGTGTTAGTATTTTCAGAATCAATCTACACCATTAAAACTATATCCAAAACGGTAACGATAATCAAAAACGTTGTTCTCAAACAAGACCCACAACAATACACTCATTAAAATCTTACAATAACACAACAGAGTAAAGCAGATACTCGGTAAAACAAACGGTATAACACGACGCGCATGCGTACCATGGTATTCATTACCACGGATGAAAACCGGCCGTACGTATGTGCGTATTATTATTCAATACATATTTCATTATTTTGTAAAATTTTCTAGCTAGCTTTTATTTTGTCATAAGTAGGAAAAAGCTAAGGGATGAAATAGCTAGCTAGAGAATAACGACTCCATGCATGGAATCAGCAACCATTGACATAATCTGCTTTGAACTGGCACCCATCGTCGAAAGTCTTGACCCCACACTTTTGGCAGTTTTGACCGCGGAGCTGGTCAAAGGCGGTGATCATCTCGTGGCCGAAGAGGTCGCAGTTGGAGCCGGAGACGAAGAGCCCGCAGTGGCCGGAGCAAACCCCGGTGGACCCCTTGTTGCCGCCGGTGAAGTAGCGGTTGTCGGCCTGGATCTGACGGCGAGCCGCGTCGCAGTCACTCTGGGCCAGCCCCCTGCACAGCGTGGAGCCACTGCACGAGAACGACTCTGGCGCCGCATCGGCTTGCTGCAGCGACAACATCACCACCGCCGCCACCACCATCAGAGCTCCGGCGGCCATGCAGTTTGACTTCTTCACCATGGCTTCGTTTGATGTGTGTGATTTTTTACGTGAATAGTAATAGTAATTAGGAATTGTAAATGATTTATGATCAAATAACCATGCATGGACGTACCTTATTTATAGCCACAATTTGGCATGCAATAATGATGACTAGTACGGACGTACTGAACTGCTGGGATGTGTTTCAGCTAACAATGTAACATTGTTGAATTTCTAATTTCATGCCGGGTAAAAACAAAATAATGTGGTAGATAAGGTTAGAAAAGAAAAGGGTAGGAGTGAGTTTTTAATAGAATTTATAGGAGATTAATTTTGAATTCAAAAATTGAATTTTAAATAAATGGGCACAACTCTTTGAAGAGACATGTTTATTCTTAAATGATAGTAGTATAACTCTTGAATATTTATTTTGAATTTAAATTGGAAGGTTTTAATTTAAATGAGTGTCTCTTACAAAAGAGACGTGATCATTTATAAAGAAGCATATTATATTCTATAAATAGAGCCAATGTCACAACACAAAAAGAGGGAAAAATTATGCTAGAAAAATGATTTATTATTAATTATTTTACCCTTTATAATGAAGAAACAATGTATTTATTTCTTATATTTATTCTATGATGATGAAATATTAATTAGTGTATTTTTCTACTCCATCCGTTCCACAAAACCCTTCCGGTTTTGACTTTGAGGGAAAATAAGAAAAGTGTAATTTTAGTTGACTTTCCAATTTTGCCCCTGATGTGATGAGAAAAAGTAAGATGAGATAGTTTGGTTATTAGTGAAAAAGTATGATGTGATAGGTAGGATATGAAAAAGTAGGGGTAAAAGTGGTTTTTTAATAGAAAGTGGAAGTGTTTTGTGAAAAGCAAAAAAACGAAAGAGGAAGGGTTTTGTGGAACGGATGGAGTATATTTTTTTGTTTCCTTTGTTTCGAGACAAGTCTCATTAAAGTACATTAGCAAATTGTTTCGTAGAGCAACCGAACAATTTGATCTTCTTCATTGTATCTCAAAAGTTCTATCTTGTAACCCTTGTTGCTTATAATAGGATGGATAAGAAACTTTTAAGAAATCGTTTCGAAGGATCACGTGCCTTCAAAATTTATCCGGTTAATTTAACCAATCCTGTTTTGAACTACGTGTGGTTTGATCCCCTTCATTGGGGTACGTAATCAACTTAGAATGTTTCATTTTTCTAGGTGCAGTCATAATAATAAAATTATTTTTTATTGTTCCAACACTTTTTTTGTTTTTCTTTCTTGTGAGGATAGGAGTACTGAATTAGAAATTTGGATTCTTTTATTTCTCACTTTTTCATTACTCCCAATTCTTTGTTTCCTCTTTTTTTTTTTGGAGGTATTGAAAGAAATAAACTTGTTATGAAGGTATTGGAAATATTTTTATGATAAATAGATGATATTTTTTAAAATTTAAAGTACATCAAAAAATGTAAATAAAAAATAATGATGACTTCCACAGTAGGGATTGTTTTTTAAAAATGATCTGAGTACATCTATTTTATGAAAAAAGAAAAGCAAATTAATTTTTAATAATTAAAATACATCAAAAAGTAAAAAGTGACAAAATTAGAAACTTGCTACTGCACAATATTCTACTCCACTCAGTTGCTACAGGCTGATTGAATGGTTTTTTATTGGATGATCGAAATGTTCCATGTCTGCGTGTGGCATTTCATTTTTTGTCTTTCCATTGATGATGCTCTTAATGATACAAACTTATTATCACTCTTGTTTTAAACATCTCTAGTATATTCTATTCATATTTTCGCTGATTTCTTATTTCCGTTTGTTTAAAACATAATTTTCTTTAAAAGTATAAAATTAAAGAAAATGAATGTCAAAGACCTTGTGGCTAAGTGGCTAACAAAGATACTTCCAAATGGGAGATCACATGTTTGATCCCAACTAGCTAGGATCTTAGCTCTACATGTTTTATTAATTTGAGTATGGATGTGCTTCAATTAAACCGAATGCTAATATACAGTATTATATTGTCACAATATAAATTCTTATTTGAAAAATTTTCTTAAATAATAGTTAGACATAGTGAGTTTTCCAATGTAATACTGTATATTTTTATTTCTAAATATAGTACCACTCGTCATTGTTTAAATAAAAATGTCCACCGATACCAGTGAAAAAAAAGCAAGAGAAAATTGTTTTTGAAACGAAAAGAGTACAAATTAAAAAGTGATAAAATATTTTATTTAATCAGCCTAACAAAAATATACATATAAAAATGAAGTAGATAAAAATTTAAAATAGATTTGACTTTCAACTACTCCACAGTCCGTATTTTCAATTTTTCACACCACATTTAAGAAATTTGAACCAGAAAGACCTGGGCTCCAAGGCAATTGATAATTTGATTGGACTGTGTGGGTCCTACCCTTCATTACTTTATCTGTTTTCCTGGCCAATCTGGTACCGGCGTGTCCAATAGTCCCTCGTGGAAAATGAAATAATGTGAAAAATTCCTTCACTTTTAAAATTATTTTAATTATACATTAGTTTAGAAATAAAAATATATGGAGTATATATTACAACAGTCAAAATATGAAAATAAATTATACAAAATAAGAGATAAGAAAAAATTTAAATTACCAATGAATAAATGAAAATATATATAAATAAAAGGGTTAAATATGTTTTTTATTCTTGTAAAAGAAATTCATATATAATCCTTACAAAATTTTTATTTTTAAAATGATCCTTAAATGATATAATTTGTACTTCTCATATGTTGAGGCAATACAATTATTTCATACTAAATATCATAGTCTTGCATTTCTGCTATTTCCAATGCAATTCTCATGCTATAAATATATGCAATATCATGGTTCATATTACATCTCCAATCCCTAAATGTTTTAGAAATATAATCCCTCCGTCCCACAAAAAAGTTTCCATTTTGATCATAAATTGGTTAAATTGTTACACATTTTGACCATAAATTAAATATAATCTAAATAAAGAAATGCTAAAAAAATTTGAGATATCAAAACTAGATCCTAAGATGAATTCAATTATATTAAATTTATTTTATAATTCAATATAACTTTCTCACAATTTGTAGTCAAAGCATGTAAATATTTGACTAAATAATATTCAAAATGGGAACTTTTTGTGGGAAGGAGGGAGTAGTATAATGTCACGTAACATTATGTGATTAGCAATGTAAGATTAAGATGTTGGGTATGAACAAATATGCAATCTCAAAAAATTAGAAGTGTAAATCTTGTTTATGGACGATACTCAAAATAAAAATTTTTGTAAGAATGACTTAGCAATTTCTTTTACAGTGACAAAAAACAAAATTTATCTATGTTACGTGGACTAAAGACTACATATCTAACCTAAATAAAATTATCGAGGGATCGTAATATTGAAAATGATCACATCTATTGTGGGACAAAGGAAGTAGTTATTTCAGTACTTCGTATTATTGATATACGGAATAATCAACAATTTTATCTCTGTTTATTCACGATATATTTTCATTTATTATCATTTGTTGAAATAACTTATATTTTCATATCTTTTTTAATTTTTATATATTTATGTATTTATTAAATTAAATATATACATATTATTTTTTAATTTTATACCAATTATCAAGCAAATTAAATAAGAAAATTATTTGAGTCAAATAGGTGTAAAATTTAACTCCATCATCCAGCTAGAGGGCCCTTATTACAAACTATGCACTACAATCGGTGTATATGTCTTACAATCACTTTATAACCAATCAGTTTCTAAACAAATTATTTTATCATTTATTATTTACAATATCAAACTTTATTCACTTTATTTGAATACGTTCGGTACAACAACAACAACCCAGTTGAATCCCACTACAGTAGGGTCTGGAGAGGGTGTGTGTACGCAGACTTGCCCCTACTCGAAAGTAGGGAGGCTGTTTCCAAGAGACCCCCGGCTCAACCTGCACAAAAATATGGTAGAGAACACAATATAACAGGATAACAAGATATAACAGGATATAACAAATGATATCCAAATACGGAGTAACATAATTTTGTCATTTCTAGTTTTATACCTTTTCAGTCTCAAAATATTTTACACTTTATGTAAAACGGAACAAAATTTAAAATTTTTTCGATTCATTTTATTAAAGATTAGTACATAAATAAGAAAAATAAAAGTCACATTCTTTCTCGTGCAATTCCAATAATTACCTTCCATTTTGAGAGTATAGTGAAGTAAGTATAGTCAAGAAATTATACATAAAACACAATTGTAGAAAATAACCATCATCAAGGCGGCATCATATCCAGTCGTACTGTTATTAAGAGAAGATAAATTAAATTTGGTCACAAATTGATGGTAGAGAGTGGACTTACACCTAGTACTTAAATAGACTTTGGCTTTGTTTGGTAACAGCGTTTTCGATTAGCGTTAGCGTTTTGGATAAAATTTTAACGGTGCAGATTAATTCTGAAAACGCCAACGCTAAAGGCTATCTTCAGATAACTTTTTCAAAACGCTAACACTAATCTCTAACGCTGATGCCAAACAAGACCCTTTTGTTTAACATAGTTATCTCCCAACACAGTTGCTAGAAATTTAAAATTTAAAATTCAAAATATAAAATTGAAAACTTAAAATTTAAAAATAAAAAAAATTAAAATTTAAAATATAGAAATTAAAATATAGAATTTTAAAATTAAATATGTTTCAAATTTAAAAATTAAAATTTAAAATTTAAAATTTAAAATTTAAAATTTATAAATTATAAATTATAATTTATAATTTATAATTTATAATTTATAATTTATAATTTATAATTTATAATTTATAATTTAAAATTTATAAATTATAATTTATAATTTATAATTTATAATTTATAATTTATAATTTATAATTTATAATTTATAATTTATAATTTATAATTTATAATTTATAATTTATAATTTATAATTTATAATTTATAATTTATAATTTATAATTTATAATTTATAATTTATAATTTATAATTTATAATTTATAATTAAAATTCAAAATTCAAAATTTAAAATTTAATATTATAAACTTAAGATTTAAAATTCAAAATTAGAAATTAAAAA